AAAACTAATGTTCTCCCATGTAAACTAGCACATAATTCACAATAAAACATTTAAGAAAAAAAAAAAAAAGAAATAAATAAATAAACACTGGGTGTCTTCTGACCATTAAAAAAAAAAAAAAAGAGTACAGGGGGAAATAAAGAGTCCCCACTGAATAGTTTTCATGTTGTCTAGATGGGTCTGGTGAAAAGAGATGGGGATAAGATTCGTATGATTCAGCAGTGAATAATTTTTATCATGACTAATTGTCACAATTGAAAAGGTAGAAGTTTTGTAAGAAAAACAAGGGAGTGGTTCATCTTACAGTCCAGAAACAGAGGACCCTAGGACCACTAAGGGAGAAGAGCACAAGCAGATTGCGGTACCTTACCGAGGGGAGCTTTGACGCCCGCCAGAGAGAGGCAGAGGCAGAGATGGGGATATGGAGAGGGGGAGCTGCTAAGGGTTCTACATTCATGCTAAGAGAAGGTCTAAGAGCTGGTGGCCAGGAGGCAGACTTGCAGAATGTGCCCTTTGGAGGTATAAATTATTATATATGCCTGAGTGTCTTTTTTTTTATTTAAAAAAAGCTAAAGTGAATAGAGAGAAATACTGTTAACTGATGATACATGGAGGGGATTATAATCATTGTAATGAAACAAGGTGTATGATTTGTTGAATGTAAAACTGATGATTTGCCCTGTAAACTTTCACTCAATCCACAATAAAAATCTTAAAAAAAAAAAAAAAAAAAAAAAGACAAATCTTAATAAGCACACATAAAAGATGGGGGAAAAGGATTTGGCAGGCTGGGCCCTCATAAGCAATGAGTAGGGACCTTCAAAAGAAAGCAATGAGGGCTCACTGAATGGTGATTCATTAAGCAACCAAATATGATCTTACATTTAAGGTGGCTCATATGAGTGGCAATCTAAAAGATCTGGGTGCAACTAATGGTGGGAAAGAGTGAGTGATATTCGAGATTACAGAAGTGGTTCAGAACGATGTGTTCCTTCAGATAGCTATATTTCATAAAACATGCTAAAAAAAAAAAACAAAACAACATTCCATGGGAACATAATTTTAGAACTGAGTAAGATGAATGGTCCCTCTTGATGATTTATAATATACATACAACATTACATTCTCTGAGAAATCCTCAGTATAAATATACTGTATACACATAAGGGAAATGCTAGGACATAATTATTTGTCCATAAAATGTTTTTCGTGCAACAGTTGGGGAAATGCTGACTTAGTCAAATGGATGTCGAAGGGAAAAGAAAACTCTTTACTTGGGAGTATATAGAAAACATCTGCACTCTGGTACAAGATTGCCTTGGGTTCAGGTCTTGATTCTGCTATTTAACTGTTTTATAATCTTAGGCAGGTAATGTTACCTCTTTGCACCTAATTCTCTGTATGTACACTCTGTAAAAAGTGGAACAACAGTAGCACATTACTACCTAAAGCCGTTGTGAGGATTAAATAAATGAACACAAGTGAGATGGTTATAAGGAGCTCTGGTGTTGCAGTGGTTAAACTGCTCAACTGCAAATCAAAAGATCAGCAGTTCAAGGTCACCAGTTGCTTTGTGGGAAAAAGATGAGCAGTTGGCTTTCATAAAGGTTTATAGCCTTGGAAACCCTATGGAACAGACCTACTTTGTGTTAGGGTCACTACCAGTCGGAACAGACTTCACAGCAGTGGGTTCGGTTTTTTGGTTTGACATGGTCAATGTCACTAAGCTACAACTTCTAGAACAGTTTCTGATCCACATCTTTTAGCAGAATTTTTAAAAATCTTTTAGCAGAATTTTTAAAAATCTTTTTTTTTATAACAGAGGTCCACAGTAGCTACAAGCGTTCCTGGCATATAGTGGCTACACAACAAATATGAAAGAATGAATGTCAATGAAAAAGATGTACAATGAAGCTTACATAAAACCTGCTAAATGTGATTGTCTTCACTCTAGAGAAAACCTCTTGAGTTTTGTAATGTCTTCTATGCAATCTTCTCCCTTTCCCTGAGATTCCTATGAAGTCTCCTAGTTTGGTCTTCCATGTCTCTTTCTTTTTCTGTTGTTTGGGTTCTACTTTCATGGAAATTTTTACAGATTTTATGCTCTAGATCTTCTAAATTTAATATTTTTATATTTTCTTCTCTGTTCTTTTTCCACAGCATCCCTTTCTAAGCTTTATGTAGATATTAAATCTGAGCAAAGCAGAATATTTATTTATAATTTCCTTCCATCTCCTGAATCACCTATTTTTCTAAGGTCAGTTCTTCAACTTATCAATAATGGTCTTTTCTATTTCACGCTATTGGTTATACCATTTTCCAAGTCTTATTTCAGAAATTAGATAAATTGGTGTGGATTTCCCTCTGTTTTGCAGTTTAGTCTCTTCCCTGAAACTAAACTGTACCTGGGAACTCGGCAAGTTGGGCCAGTCAGGTAGTGTCAATTGTCAGCCTTTGGCTTTAGGGCAGGAGTCAAGACTGTGGGGCTTTCCAAAAGCCAGAACGAAGGCTTTAACCTAGATGACAACATCTGTTCTGAGTATCAGGATAGGCGAGGGGGTTGGGCTGCCAACTGGTACAAACTGCTCCATAAATAGGACTTCAATTAATCTCTGTTTTTCAGTACCACTTCTCACTCTCACAATCCATTGTACCTGCCAATTCTGGCCCAGAGCCTCTTGGGATTCCTGTAAGCAGGCTGGCGTCCTTGCTCCTCTCTAGCTCCCTCCTAGCACATTCTGAGCTGTAAATCTTTCCACCTCTTTTATCTGTCAAGATGCTCCCATCTGCTTGGTCTCCCAGAAATTCATTGAAGGCTGTCGTCTGTTGATATCTTCTTTCCTTACGATTCTGAACTTGTTTCTTTTCATTAAATCAGTTATTTTAATGCAGTGGGGGTGGTTCTGGTAGGGGTTGGAACAAAACTTAAGGTTCAACCTTTGTAGAACTTTGGTGGCTAATTTTATATGAAGAAACAGGTAACTTTTTGCTTTTTCAGACTCACATGAAGGAAATCCATTTTAAATTTCATAATATACATTTAGATGAATTTTTATTTTTTTTCTTCAAGCAAGGGAACCTTTTGCCATTTGATCAAAGGAACATGTGACTTTAAAAGGTCCGGGGGGGGGGGGGGGGAGGAACCAGTCAGCTTCTTCTAGCTTTGATGATTCCAGGATGTTTCTGTCTTTCAAGCAAGAAAAACAGCAAAGCAACAGTTTTTGTTTATGAACAGAAATGGAAGGAAGGTTACAGCCTGTTTTGTGTGGGTATGTGGAGGTGGGGGTTGGGGTGAAATTAACAAGACTAACTTTGAAAACGTTGGTTTCCAGTGCTTAGTTTAAGAAGCCTTGGTGGTGCATTGGTTAAGTGCTCAGCTACTAACTGAAAGATCAGCAGTTTAAATCTACCAGCTGCTCCATGGGAGAAAGATGCTTCCATGAAGATGTCAGCCTTGGTAACTCTCTGGGGCAGTTGGACCTGTCCTACAGGGTAGCTAAGAGTCAGAATCACTCAGTGGCAATTGGTTTGGCTTTTGGCTTAAAGGATGATTTAAGAAGAAATGCTTAGTAGGCAGGTGAACATACATTTACAGAGTAGAAAGAATCAAGTCATCAACCATGCTGCTTATGAAATCAACCAAAGATTAACCGTTTACGAGAGAAAAAAGTAGAACTCTAGGTGGTAGTGGTGGTGGTGGTTATGTGCCATGGAGTCGGTTCCAAATCATAGCGACCCTGCACAGGGTTTCTGAGGTTGTAAATCTTTACGGGAGAAGAAAGCCTCATCTTTCTCCCACCACGGAACAGCTGATAGCTTCTAACTGCTGACTGACCTTGTGGTTCACAGCCCGATTCGTAACCACCATGCTATCAGAGCTCCTTAGAACTCTAGGTAAGATAGCAAATATGTATGAGTGGAATAAAACAACCCTGTAACAGAGACATCGAATATGGAGAAGAATCTTCAGTTATCAAATGCTACTAAGATGTCAAGTTAAGAAAAGGGCCATTAAAAAAAAAAAAAACAGCAACTTATTAAGTATTTTGATATAAATAATGTAAGTGAAGAGGTGAATCGGTGGAGGATGAGACCAGACTTTCTCTCTAGTGGCAATGTTAGGTGGCAAAGAGGGTTAATGATTAGATTAACTCAGAGTAGTAGAAATTGTGTGGGAAAGATGAAGACTGGGGTAAAAGAGGATAAAGAACTGAGAACACTGACAAGAGTTGTGGACAACAATTCATGTAGTTTAGAATGGACAGGGGGAAAATAAGAAATTGAGAAGGATCTAAAAGCTTGAGAGGAAACGTAGAGTACGAATACAAAAATAAGACCCATCAGTAAGGGAGTGAGAAAGCTGGGTGGATAGGAAGCTGGGGTCTGAGAATGCGATATTTAAATGTATAGTTCTAGAAGTGGGAAGGTTGTAAGAACAAGCTCCAGGACATCACTGAAGACGTGAGTAACTGCTTCTGAGAAGTGGAGGTTAGAGCACTGCAGTGGGGTGGGCCAAAGCATTGGTGTCTAGTACTACTATACTGACCACCCATACAGATGGTGGCCTTGAAATGGCGAGGACGACTAAGAGCAGGATTCTAAGCTCTTCATTAAATGTGGGAAAATAATCCACAGACGGGAAGAAAAGCAGTACAACAAGTAGTAGACGGTACACTCAACTCTGTCTAAAAGCTCCACTTGGAAGTAGAGGTTAGACGAGATTAGACACAAAGGTAAATCAGGAGTACCTACAACTTACTGTGCTGGATGTAGGCAGCATTAAGTTGCAAAAATCTCCCTCAGGTAATTAGAGCACATAATCTTTTAAGTCCCTTTCTACACTATAAGAGGTTTCTTAAAAATCTTGGGCCAAAGTTAATTAGAAAAAAATACATTCTAGTTCCATGTTATCTTAACTGTACAACAGAAAGAAATGAACCACTTCAACTCTTTTATCTTAAAACATATACTTGTTTCTTTTTAGGAAGTGCCCTGTTGGTTTGCTTGGTTTCTTGAGACTTTCTCCTATGAGTTTTCTTTTCTTTACAATGCTGGCCTTCTGCATTAAATAAGTTGCAAACAGTCTCTTCTGCAAAACTAGTCAATTGCTATAAAGACAAAAAGAAAAGTGAGAATTCTATGAAGCAAAAACAGTTACATCTAATGTCTATCCCTCACATTTGTATTTTCTTCTAAGCCACTTCTACTAAGGTACATTTCATTTTCTCTTCACTCACAAATTCCATTAATGGTATTTTAGATAACTTAATTTCATTACCAATTTCTGACTTTTTAAAAAACATACACCCAGAAGTATATGTATTCTACCAACTAAGAAGGAAAATCAACTAAATAATCAGTTGATTTACTTATTGATCAAATATGTTTATTAAGCATCTAGAATTTGGCACCAACCTGTTGCCAGGCTAAGGGGAAAATAAACCTTGAACTGGTAACATTATTGAAGTTTTAATTCTGGATTTTTTATCCAACCAAGAGTCAAAAACAGATAGGCTGCACAAATATAAATACTCACATTTTTTCTGTTAGAGGTACGTGTTATTCTGCCAATGTTGCAGGAAGACATATTCTCCTGGTTATTTGCAGAACTAAAGGTATCAGTGCCTGACGAGTAAGAAACAAGCAATATTAAAATAGCTAACAAAAAACTGTAAGCATATCTTTTGGATACACTAGGCATTCTTTTGGATAACCACCTTTGCTTTTAATGTCACATCTACACATAAATAATTACCAAGATGAATAAATTTTGAGTGAAGGTTTTGAAAACCTTTAGCTACGTTAACTGAACACCCAGATACTTTTTGCTGTGTTCCATAATCACTACTCAACACGTTACAATACTGAGCTGATTACAAATCATATTACACTGAATGCATGTATTTTCATTTATTCCAAGGAGCTCTGGTAGTGTAGCGGTTACGAATCGGGCTGCGAACCGCAAGGTCAGCAGTTCGAAACTACCAGCTGTTCTGCGAGAAAGATGAGGCTTTCTGCTCCTGTAAAGATTTCCAGCCTCGGAAACCCTGTACAGGGTCGCTATGAGTCAGAACCGACTCCATGGCACATAACAACAACAAATACCATATTTTATATAAAGAAATAACAATAAAGGGCATTAAGATGACTGTGAAATTATTTAATTTTCTAAAGTTAAGAAAATTTTTTATTTGATTACTCTTAAGGGCAAGGAGCTCTGGTAGCGTAGTGGTTACGAATCGGGTTGCGAACCTTAAGGCCAGCAGTTCGAAACT